ATGCTGAAGCGCCGCATACTGCGCCTATCTTGCGGTGAGCGACTGGCGGGGTTGCCCGACTTCACGTGTTGCCAGCTTGCCGCTCTCCATGGACATCCCCTGGCCAGGTGCGGAGGCGTCGTTTCCTTGCATGTCTACACATTTGCGTTGCTGAGTTGGGAAAATTGTACTTTTATCATTCAAGTTAGGTAGGTGCGGTAAGCTACGAGTTTCATCATCGGTGCTCCCATCCATCCCTCGCGTCTTTCTTTCGGCGCCAGGCATGTCTCATCAATTTTTTTCCCATCCCCCAAGGCATATTGAATGAAGGAATCAGGTTTCGGTTTGGGTATTCATGTCATGAGAAACTGACCCAGCTTACAGCTGGACAGCCTTGCGGAAGTTGGCACCGGCGTAGACGGCGTTGCTGCCAAGCTCCTCCTCGATGCGGAGGATCTGGTTGAGCTTGGCAAGGCGCTCGGAACGGGCAGGCGCACCGGTCTTGATCTGCCCAGCGCGGATACCGACGACGATGTCGGAGATGGTGACATCCTCAGTCTCACCGGAACGGTGAGAAACCATGACACCCCAGCCGTCGGCGTAGGAGTCCTTGGCGGCCTGGATGGACTCGGTCAGGGTTCCGATCTGGTTGACCTTGAGCAGGAGAGCGTTGGCGGACTTGAGCTCAATGGCCTTCTTGATGCGGAGGGGATTGGTGACGGTCAAGTCATCACCGACAATCTGGATGTCCTGGGTCTTGTAGAAGTAGCTCCAGGCCTCCCAGTCGTCCTCGGCGAAGGGGTCCTCAATGCTGACGATGGGGTACTTCTTGCAGAGGTCGGAGTACAGAGCCGCGAGCTCCTCGTAGGTGATCCACTTGGTAGGGTCGCTCTCGGGGTTCTTGAAGTCCAGGTCGTACTTCTTGGCGTCCTCCTTGTAGAACTCAGAGGAGGCAACGTCCATGGCAATGTTCATCTTGCCAGTGTAGCCAGCCTTCTCAATGGCATCGGTGATGAGGTCAAGAGCCTCCTGGGCAGTCTGGATATCAGGGGCAACACCACCCTCGTCACCGACGTTGCCGGCGGACTGGCCGTACTTCTTCTTGGCCAGGCTCTTGAGCTGCTGGTAGACCTCGGCACCCTGGCGCATGGCCTCGGAGAAGGAGGGAGCGTCACTGGGCAGTACACGTCAGCTCGGGGTCACATCCTCGCCAGTTTAGAGCTCCGAGTCAAACTTACGAGGGGACGATCATGAACTCCTGGAAGGCGAGACGGCCACCAGCGTGGGAGCCTCCGTTGAGGACGTTCATGAAGGGGACGGGCAGGACGAAAGGCTTCTTGGTTCCGGCCAGGTCGGAGACGTGGGCGTACAGAGGGACACCCTAGAGACGGTCAGACGAGGCAAAGCACACCATATTGTGACGAGACCAACCTTCTCAGCAGCACCAGCCTTGGCAACAGCCAGGGAGACACCGAGGATGGCGTTGGCGCCGAGCTTGGTCTTGTTGGGTGTTCCGTCGAGGTCGATGAGGAACTTGTCGACCTTGGTCTGGTCCTTGACATCAAGGTTCTCCTTGATCAGGGCGGGGGCAATGATGCTGTTGACGTTGTCGACGGCCTTGGTGACACCCTTGCCACCCCACTTGGTCTTGTCACCATCGCGGAGCTCGCAAGCCTCGTGCTGGCCTGTTTAATGGATGCCATTAGCCTTTGATCACTTCCATCTCTTCTTGGGGTATGATGAACCGGGGGAGGGAAACCGGCGGGGACGACGACGTACCAGTGGAAGCACCGGAGGGGACGATGGCACGGTGAAGGCCGGTCTCGGTGACGACGTCAACCTCCACGGTGGGGTTGCCACGAGAGTCGTAGACGTAGCGAGCGTGGATCTTGGTGATGGCCATGGTGATGATATGTGTAATGGATGGTTCCTAGCGGAAGGAGAGGAGAGATGTTAGTCGACAGTTTGGGGGGAGGAGAAGGCTTTATATTGCAGGGAGCAGGAAAAAGACAAGTGGGTGAGTCAACAAATGGCAATGATAGGACCGATTCGGGGAAATTGCTAAGCTTGCGAGTGCTCCTTGACCGGACAAAACAATTGCCTCAGGGTGGGATGGCATGGTGGGGTGATTTTCTCGCAAGCTTCACGGCCAACGGCATACAGCTTTGACATGGCGGGGCAGCTGGGTTGATAGAGGGGGCTTGGACGTGGATGGAACATGACTTACTTGGGTGATTTTAGGATGAAGAAGCCGCGGACTGTACCTCAGCAATTGAGTTGGTGTGCAAAAATGAGGCGGCAGTGATGGAGGAGAGGGATGGTTGTGCCAAAGCAGTCGAGGGGAAGGGGACGAAGGTGGCAGAGGTGTGTTCAGTGTTTTGGAGGGGTCTTTCCCTTCCCACCCCACCTTGCTTGCCTACCTGAGGTGAGGTGAGCCCAGGAGCCCAGAGCGCAGTGTACGCAGTAGGTATTCCCTGTCCAGCCCAGCCCCGGTCAGGGTGCAGTCCATCCGGTAGGTAGAAAGCTAGGAGGTACCTGCAAAGAGGTATCATGCCTTACTTACCTCAGGTACACCACCTCCTCAGCCCGGGGCTGCATTGTTGCTCGCACCTTCTTTTTGGTGGGTATCTCGACATCGTCCAATTGCTCGTTGGCAGCCGGACCCTAGAGAAGGCGGGGCATCTGCCCTGTTAAAGCGCTACATGGGTCTGGAGCTCCAAACAGGCCAAGAACGACCACAAAACAGCTTCGTTTCATGGTACCATTCTTAGCACCACCAACACGACGACTGCCACGGCTTCTTTGGTGAGGGCCGCTCCTCAACAAACCGCGCATCAGAAATTGCTGCCTTGCCAATGCGACCAGACACGTTTCCGCTGTTGTCTCTCGCCATTGGATCCTCATCTATTTTCGTCCCCAGCCACAGATCCAGCTTCAAAATCTCGCTTCACCCGTGTGTCTCCATGTCAAAAAACCTCGGTCCCGAACAGTGGCAGAAAGCTTTCGGCATTGGGTGTCTTGTCGATTGACACCTTTATGTCAGAACCATCGTCTGATTGGCCGCCCACACCAACGTCGTCTGCACAACGGCTTTGCAACCGTCCATTGTCGGGTGTCCAGTGGGCTCAATCTGGGCCTGATGCGTAAAAGCGCGTCTTCGACAATCTCCAGGTCCCGATTCCCGATCTTCAAGACGTCTTTTCCCCGGACCCCGGTCCAACGACGAGATGCTCATTGGCAATTCCCATCAGTGAATGGTCGTTTTACTCCACAAAACGCCTGGGACGCGCTGGCCGCCATGGATTATCCCGAGGATGTTGCTCGGAATAGCCAAGTGCTAATGCGGTTCTTCCCGATCATGGATCCCGACCCCGTCACCCCGTCCAGTAATGCCGGGGTAAGACATCTGTAGGCAAGTCATAGAATGGGAAATGGTACTTTTGACCTCTTTCTTTGAAGCCCAAGTGGGATGACGTTTGTTTTCTGTCCCGGGGAAGTGGTCCTTGGCGTGGGGAGTGGACGTCAGTCGTGTTTCCTCTTGGACTAATACCACCAACATGACTTCCTTTACCCGCGACTCGGCCGACCGAGCCGAAGCTGACAGACAAAAACGCACAAGATAAATGCGTTTGCATGTGCAGACAGCCCTACCGTCTACAGTTCAGTATTTTGAATGCTGGCCCCGTTCTTTAGGGTCCGCCAATGCTGCTTTCAAACGTACTGGTCGTCCTGTGGGTGCACGATATCTGGAGAACATGCTCTCAGCTGAACCGGGATGGTGGCTATCCAGCCTAGATTTCCCGTCTTTGGACCGAATCACCGGCAGAAATTCGTCCATCTCCCAGATGTGCAACTGTCTGATAAAATGGTGTGACCGAGATTCTCCGGACTCACAGCCTACCCAACCCATCTGCAAGCCCCGATTCTAGCCATGTCGCAACGCCCTTTGCCGCGCATGATGGTCACAACTGTACAATCACAGCCCAACACAGACACTGCTTGGACGGTACTTTCAGGCGTGGATATGCAAAGTATCGTCGCTTCGGGCAGCCATCCAGAGTGAGCACGCACACGCCCAGCACCGCTGGCTCAACACGCAGCAGGGTCACCGGCATTGGTCGCAGAATGCCCGGTGCACTCCTTTCCGGCATGCCCTCTGGACAGAGGCAAAGTCAATGATAGCTTTTGGGGCCTCCAGGTTGTGAATGTGGGCAGCGGATTTACTCGCTGGATGCCAATTCTTCGAGTGTCTGGTTGTCTGGTAAACGTTTATCCTCGTGGGTGTCTTCCCACGCCAATGGCCGCACATGGCGCCCGGGAGACTTTCCGAACGGCGCCGTGGGTGCGGACATGGAAAACGTCACGGGAGGACCAGAGCAGATTCCGGGAGGATGGACGCTCGGAACGGCTGTGGGCCGGATCGGGTGGACGCGGCTTGGCGTGGAGCTCGGGCGGAGCAGAGAGCAGCACGGGTCGGTGACCTGAGGCAGAAGGTGGAGAGTCTTGGATTTGCGCATCCGGGCGAGCAGCGCGGCCTGCATCGGCGCATCCCCATGGCTGAGACTGGAGCCTCTGGAAGCTTTCTATCCCTCCCCCTCTCTGAAATTGGACCCCGCGTTACATGTACCTTCCTTAGACGTGCATAGCTTACCTTGCCTCAGGTAGCTGGGTGCCCGAACTGACCGCTTTCGTTCTTTTGTTGCTCTGGCCCCCGCCCCCTCCTTCATGGCTTTCCGTTTCGTAACAAAACGTACAGTCGATCTGACATCACGCATCACATCGACCAGACGGCCACTTGCGCGCATGTGCGTTCTCCAGCTGGATTGCTCACCGGCAGCATACACCGCAGCAGGCATTCATTAGCTAACAACGAGCAATACAGACCTTACCAGCTGAGAACATATAGTGCATCCTCAGCGCAACAAACCTCCACCTCCCGAGCTACCCCTCCCAGACGAAACGTTCGACTCCAAAACCCCCAGCGCCTCGCCGCCACACGGCACTGCTCGTTCAAACGAAATATGTGCAGGCACGGAGAAGCTGCCGGCGCAGGCACGCTGAACTACCCCAGAGAGCAGCTGCCCACCAACGTCGTCCCGCGCCACTATGATCTGACCCTCGAGCCCAACTTCGAGACGCTCAAATTCGACGGTCACGTCAAGATCGACTTTGACGTTGCCGAAGACTCAAACACCGTTTCCCTGAATACTCTCGACATTGAGGTCAAGCATGCCGCCTTGTCTCTGTCGGCCGAGGGTCAGCAAAAGAGCCTCAGCGACCCGGTCATCACCTACGATGAGTCCAAGCAGACCCACACCTTCGAGTTCAAGGACCGTCTCACAAAGGGCGCCAAGGGTACTCTCGAAATCAAGTTCGTTGGTGAACTGAACGACAAGATGGCTGGCTTCTACCGCTCATACTACCCCAAGCCTGACGGCTCCAAGGGCATTCTGGCTACCAGTCAGATGGAGCCTACCGATGCTCGTCGGGCATTCCCCTGCTTTGACGAGCCTGCGCTCAAGGCAGAATTTACCGTCACCCTTGTTGCCGACAAGAACCTGACGTGCCTGTCCAACATGGACGTTGCCGAAGAGAAGGAGCTGCCCGCGGGAAAGAAGGCCGTTCGATTCAACAAGTCTCCCGTCATGTCGACCTATCTCGTTGCCTTCATCGTCGGAGAACTCAACTACATTGAGAACAATGACTTCCGGGTGCCTCTTCGCGTCTACGCGCCTCCCTCTGAGGATATTGAGCGAGGACGCTACGCGCTGGAGATTGGTGTCAAGGCTTTGGAGTTTTACGAGAAGGCGTTCGGGCTCCCTTACCCCTTGCCGAAACTCGACCAAGTTGCCATTCCCGACTTTGCCGCCGGAGCCATGGAGAACTGGGGTCTCGTTACCTACCGTACTGTCGAGGTCCTTTTCGATGACAAGACGAGCGGTGCCGCAGCCAAAGAGCGTGTCTCAACCGTCATCACCCATGAGATTGCTCATCAGTGGTTCGGAAATATCGTGTCTCCCGATTGGTGGCACGCTTTGTGGCTGAACGAGGGATTCGCCGAGTTTGCATCTCGCTACTCTCTGAACGCGTTCTTCCCTGAGTGGAAGCTCAAGGAGTCTTTCGTCAGGGAGGATCTCCAGGCGGCCCTTGGCCTCGATGGCCTCAGGAGCAGCCACCCCATTGAAGTTCCCGTCCATAAGGCCGAGGAGATTAATGAAATCTTTGACAGCATCAGCTACGCCAAGGGCTCCTGCGTCGTTCACATGATTTCAGCCTTCCTGGGCGAGGATGTGTTCATGGAGGGCGTCCGGAAGTATCTCAAGCGACACGCGTGGGGAAATGCCACGACAAACGACCTGTGGCAAGCTCTCAGTGAAGCCAGCGGCAAGGATGTCGGTTCCATCATGAACATCTGGACCCAGAATGTCGGTTACCCTGTCGTTTCTGTTACCGAGACGGGCAACTCGATCAGCGTGGAGCAGCACCGTTTCCTAACTACCGGAGATGTCAAGCCCGAGGAGGACAAGGTCCTCTATCCCATTTCTCTCAATGTTCGCACCAAGGGCGGTGTTGACAAGGACTTGATGCTCACGACCCGCGATGCCAAGTTCGAGGTCGCGGACGCCGACTTCTTCAAGATTAACGCCGACTCCACCGGATTCTACCGCACAAAGTACGGCATTGACAGACTTGAGAAGCTTGGCAATGCTGCTGAGCTTCTCTCCGTCCAGGACAGAGTTGGCATCGTGGCTGACACCAGTGCGCTCGCTACTTCGGGCTACCAGAAGACGTCCTCTTGCCTGGGTCTGTTCAAGGCTCTGAGCAACGCCGGCGAGGCAGAGTATCTGGTTTGGGACCAGATTCTCACTCGCCTTGGGTCCATCAAGATGGCATGGATCGAGGACGAGGAGGTTGTCGACAAGTTGACCGAATTCCAGCGCGACATTGTCAGCGGCATGGCCCACAAGCTAGGTTGGAACTTTTCCACAGCTGACGGCCACGTCGAGCAACAGTACAAGGCCCTCATGTTTGGTGCGGCCGGTATGGCTGGCGACGAGAAGGTTCTTGCCGCGGCGCGGGACATGTTTGAGAAGTTTGCGGCTGGAGACAAGACCGCCATTCACCCGAACATCAGAAGCTCCGCGTTCTCCATCGTGCTGAAATACGGTGGTGAGAAGGAGGTGAGTTTCTTCTCTTTTTCTGCGATTCATCAACTGACCAAAATGCTGTAGTACGATGCCGTACTCAAGTACTACGAGACCGCTGAGACGAGCGACGAACGCAACAGCGCCCTGCGCACGTTGGGACAGGCTCGTGACCCTAAGCTTAGACAACGTACTTTGGATATGCTGCTAAGCGGCAAGATCCGCGACCAGGATGTTTACATCCCCATCGGTAGCCTGCGGTCTAGCAAGAGTGGCATCGAGGCTCTGTTCGACTGGATGCAGACGAGGTGGGACGAGATCTACACCAAGTTCCCTGCTCAGTCTTCCATGATTGGTAGTATCGTTAGCTACTGCACCAGTGGTCTTACGAAGCAAGAGCAGCTGGACCAAGTCGACAAGTTCTTTGCCGCAAAGGACAAGAAGGGTTACGTTCGAGCGCTGTCGCAGTCTACCGATTCCATCAAGGCCAAGATTACATGGACCGCCCGTGACACGGAGGATTTGCGCAAGTTCTTGGGTATCTAGGGTTGCAGACGCCGTACTATGAGAGGTTTGTGTGTTGTAAAGGTCATGCCGCATAGCTGTTCAGGGACAGCCAAATAACCAAAATAATGAATTCGTGTAATTGTGTGGATTCCCAGCCGTGCGACCAAATGGCTCGATGCCTCGTAGGGGCATGAACAGTGCAGCGCACGATTGAATCTGGTCGTAGTTGCTCACTGTCCCGTTGTGGACTACATTCAACCAAAACAGGTACCCAAAGTCGGCGGTGGGTCCCATACAGGCTTTGCGTCAGAGGGGCTTGTGCCCAGTGCGCAATGGAAGACACAAATCTCACAGACATCCATTCATCACGACACTCGTCCCCCTGGTTGAATGCTCGGAGCCGCCGCTGTCAGATTGACTGCAGGACCGTCCAACTGCTTCATTCCCACCATGGCAGCCCCTCGCCTAGCTTCCTCGTGGCAAGTCCGCGCCGAGGCCGGTGAGCCCTTCGCCGTGATCCGCGTCCGCGACCTACAGGGCACCATCCAGGCCGGCACCGACGCCTGGGGCCGCGAGAACAAGTCGCAGCCGGTCCGCGTGTCGGCGGAACTGTCCATGGCTAGCCCTTTTGACGCCGCGTCTGCCTCAGACCGTGTCAGCGACGACACGGTGCATTATGGCTTGCTCGCCAAGGCCATCCTCTCCAGTCTTGGGGGCATCAACAAGAAGGCACAATCGGCCGGCAAGCCCTCACATATTCGCCTTCGGGACGCAGTTGGTCAGATCTGGGCCGATCTGACCGGCCTCTCTCTCGATGGACAGTATGTCCCTGCCGAAGAGGGAAGCGTTGGCTTTTTGCGGGATAGGCTCTCGCTGGTTCGGTTCATGAACCTGAACGTCACGCTGCCGAAGGCGTCTCTCCTTGGGAGCGCTATCAGTCTGTCAGCGTCCGCCGTCCTCAGTCCCCAAGGGGGCCCGTCACCGATCGTTGTACGCAGCTCTTGCCTTCGCCTTCACGATCTGCGGGTGCCCACTCTCATTGGTGTAAACGACAATGAGAGACTCGCAAGGCAGATTCTTGCGGCGGACATGGAGATTGAGCAGTTTGACGTGTCCGAAGACGTGTACGTCGGCATTGAGTCTATTGTTGTAAAGGTCAGTCTATCTCTTCTCTCTTGTATCTCTAATCCCTGGTCGTTTAAGAATTTCTCCTGTGCCCGTCTACAGAATGATAACCTAACATTTTCCGTGGCAAAGACGCTATCAGACTCGTCCTTTGAGACTCTCGAGGCCCTTGGCCCCGCCATCACACAGAGCATCCGCAAGGATATCAAACACGTTGCCGCGTCCTCTGCCTCGCAGGCGCCGGACTGGGTTATCAAAGTGGCGATGGAAAAGCCGACGGCCATTACAATGGCCGAGGCCTCGCGCGTCGAGTACAGAGAGCTTGTCAGTGCCCGCACATAGCAAACCAAACTTTTCCGACCAAGATCTATGCTCCCTCGTTTTGTGCTCTCTGAGCGTAATAAGGCTGAAAATGACGGCGATACCGTGTTTGCTCGCCGCCGTTGCGAATCGTGAACCTGCCCATCTCCTCACCATGCCCGAAACTTTTCGCACTGCGGAACATCTCCGTTGGTGATGTCCTTGATGAATTCGGCATCCGGGTCGAAGAGCATAACGTGGAAATGCTCTACCGCATGCACGGACTTGAGACTCCTCCAGTTCTTGAACCAGATGACCTGACAAAGTGATTAGCCATCCGAGACTCACCCAGGCCAAATAACAAAGCACTCACCGAATCAGGCTTCGTCCTCGACCGGAAGGTCTTGTCCACGTAGGCCTCAATCTCACCCCTCGCCACCTCGGTCAAATCACCCGTCGCCAGATCCTCTTCCAGCTCGAACTTGGTCCAGACAACGAGGTGCACAATCCGTTCGTCAATGCCATACGGCCAATCATTCACCAGAATTTTCAGATCCTCGTCGACCTCAAACGGCTTCCCCTTGGACACCGACGGCTCCTCCCAACTCAGACGACGCCTCAGCACAAAGTTCATGACGCTGCCGTGTTCTTGGATCAGCTGGTGTATGAAGAGCCGGTACCGCCGCAGCTCCGAGGGCACCCGCTGGAACAGGTCCAGCCGGTTCGTGGCGACGAAGCGCCGCACGGTCTCCCACGACTGCGGGACGTACTCGGCGTCCGGCGTGCTGAGGATCCCCACGTCCTTGGCGGAGAGGTTGCGGAGGCCCTCCGGGCACTCTTCGGTCCGGTGCTCCGGCGGCACATTGACCTGCCAGTACGGCAGGGCCGGCGACTTGTAGAGGCTACCCATTTCTCGTTCGCTACTGGTTCGCGGGTGTTGCGGAGAGAGAGGCTCAATTGGGTCGGGGCTAGTGTGCAGACGAGGTGGAGTTGACAAGGTAGAGAGGGATTTGGTGTGTTCTCGAGCATAAAAGAGATCCCGAGTTAAGAAGGGGGACCAATAGGTTGGTGTCCTCCTTGTTGCAGGGTGATCCACGGTTGTCAAAGAATGGAAGAGACGGCGAATGAAGGTCTCACACCCAGTATTAGTCGGTGGGACCTGATCAGGTCTTTGTTCAAGGCTTAATATATCATCCAGTCTCCCCCACGTCGGCGAATCCGTACGAAAACTTACAAGTTAGAACAGGGCCTCTTCTCAACACAACGACGCATGAGATTGTAAATGTTGCGGCGCGGAAACCGGCAGACCCCCCAGGTCATGCAATATTACCCGCCTTCGCAGGTCCGGGACAGGGACCCGTCATGCAGTGTCGCGCTTCCTCGTTCCTTTTCCCGTCCCTCACCGCTAGTCGGCGCCGATTGACATGGACTGCAAGCCAGGTAGGCCAAAAGGCCAGCCTCCACCCGGAGACGGTCGGTCGCAATCCGGCTGGTGCACGGCTGGCAGCAGTCGCTAACCTTCCTGGACATCATTGCCGTGACAGTCGTATTCGCATCACACCTCACGCGTCGACATCACATACAGCCTACATGGCCCGAAAAGAAATTTCGTCAAGAGCATGAACACGCAGTGCTGCCTATTAAAATGCTATCAAATTCATACTGCTACTGCCTCGGGCATGCAGGTGTGCCGCCTTTTGGGGGAACGGTTTTATTTCTATTATCCCATCGCGTTTTCAGAATGTCATCCAAGATGCTTACCACGCATCGTGACCTCTGCTGTGAAATGCTCAAAATACACAAACCCGCCAGAGCCATTTAGTGCTCAAGCAGACGCAAGCTGCCCTGGACGACCACGTTCTCGAGGATGGATCCGGGGGGGATGTCGATGGTGCTGCCCTCTGTCGCGACGATGATGACAGTGCCCTTGAGCGTCACGCCGCGGCCGAGGTTGACGGCACCGGTGATGGTCAGGTGGTCCAGCTCAATGATCTTGGGGATGGACGGGATGTGCTTGGCGAAGTCAGAGACCTTCTTGAAGTCGCTGCCCAGCTTGATGAGAGGGGCGTCGCCAAAGCGGCTGGAGCTCATCTGGAGCTGCCCGTGCTTGACGGTGTAGAGGTCAGACTTGACGAGCATCAGGTCGGAGGAGGTCTTGACGGGCAAGAAGCGGCGACGGGGAACGTTGACACCGTGCGCGTTCTTAAAGTGACGGATGGCAGCTCCGACGGCGGTCTCCAGCTGGATGATGGAGATGTCGGACTCGCCCTTCTTGTCGCCGGGGATGGTCTTTCCGTTGGGGATGATCTCCATCTCAAGCTCGTCGTTCTCCACGACGCGCTTGATGGCCTTCAGGTTGAGCCAGATGTTGTTGGTGTTGAAGTACTTGAACTTCTTGATAGACTTGAACTCGTTGACGTGCTCCTTGGGGACCTGGGCGATCTCAAGGAGACGGACAGAGCCCTCGTAGTCGATGATGGTACCACCCTTGACGTCGGCCTTGGTCTTGTTGGTCAACTCCATGATGTACTCGGCCTCGGTCTCGACCATGTGCTGGAGGACGCGGAGGTCGACGACGGCACCCAGGTTGTCGACGTTGGAAAGGAAGACAATCTCGATGCCACGCTCGATGAGCTTGTCGAGAATGCCGGAGTTGTACAAAGACTCGAAAACGTCACCGTGACCGGGGGGGTACCAGTCGCTGATGGCGGAGTCGTACGTCTTGGGGACGGGGAGGAGCGAGTCCTTGAGGATTCTGGGGTATCTTGATTGGTTGAAGGTGAGGATGTCGACGTTGTGGCCCTCGTACTTCTTGATGATGGCAGCAGTGTCGTCGTTGGTGTTGAACGAATTCATGAGGATGAAGGGAACGTTGACGCCGTAGGTGCGGTTGAGGTACTCGATCTGGCGGACGGACAGGTCCAGGAAGGACATGCCGTCACGAACCTCAATGACGGACTTGGGGCCAACGCAACCCATGGAGGTACCGAGACCACCGTTGAGCTTGAGGACGGCAAGCTTGTTGAGGAACTGAACGGACTCGGAGTTGGCGAGGTCCTCGTAGTCAACAACCTGGCCCTGAGCGGGGGGAGCAATGCGGTCCCAGTCACTGTATATCGTTCGTTAGCCTGAGCTCGATATTTGTCCTCCTTTTCCACTGTAGACCTACACGGCGTTGCCCTTGGCCTTGTCGTTCAAGTAGCGACGGAAGAGAGCGAAGAAGTTGTCCATCTCGGTCTCGAAGAGCTGCGGCAGGGGTCAGAATTGGGCGGTTTTTGCACACGCGCTTGGATTGTTAGTACTGACCTTCTTCTGCTCGGGGTCGGTGACCGTCTCGGAGAGGGTGGTGAGAGCATTGCGCATCTGGGCAGCGGCGACGCTGGTGGAAGTGTTCTCGAAAGCCTTGGAGGAATATCGTCAGTCTTCCATTTGCACGTAGGTTTTGGGTGTAATTGCGGCCCCTGTTGGGTGGGGCACCATGAAGCTGTCGTCAAGTGATCTGCGGCGGGGCCAGTGTGCGATTACGGCCAGCTTGTTGTTTTCCCCTGAGAGACGCCACGAAGTCTGTTGCAAGCCGACCCAAACGCGTTTTGCTTCGTCCTTCGGATTGCTAGAATCCATCAGACAGCAAAGCCGCGCTGTGCTGCTTGGTTCGCTGTACCACTGGCTTGAAAGACCTTTGCAAGATGCACGGCTCATACTAGAGACAGGCGGACCAGAGGCACAGAAGTGATTGGCAATGGCGCGAGCAGAGTGACACAAAGCAGCCAGTAGCTACTCGTGCTCACATTGCACAATTCGTTTCAGGGCGTCCTCGTGGGAGAAGCAGAGTCCCATCGTTACACTTCAATTGGCACCGCCCGGGGCCGCGTAACAAGGTGGGAGAAACAGAGAGCAGTGTATACCATGTGAGACCTCGTCTTGCCGTGGTGGCGGGAGGTGAACTCGGCGTCATCAGCCTTGCCCTGGCCTCCAAGAGGAGACTTCAGGTGAGTAGGCAGGGCGCTCTTGATCGCTTGAGCCATTGCGGGCGAGTGTTTGGGTGTTTCGCGGTGAATGAGGTTGGACTGGGGGGAAAGAGTGTCAGTAAACGCGACCGGGCTGTGAAAGAGCTCGAGAAGAAGATTCTGGCGGGCTCTCGGGGGGTGTAGAAGGCAGAATATTGTAGAAGGAGGGGGGAAACAGGATGAGAAATCGCAGACGGCGGGGTAGAGCCTACGGCGACAGGGAACTGGCCGTGGGATAGATGGGGAGAAAAAGTGCTGGGACTGGGAGCTCAAAGGTATCTGTGTAGCCTGACGTAATTCTCAAGCTTCTCCATGTGACGAGGAGCAAGAATTTCGGTAGAGGCACAATCGAGCAGGTCCAGTGAAGCTTGGGGAAGGCGGGGGGAGGTGATATGGCGGAGGAAGGGGGCAAAGTGAGGTGCTTCTCGCCATGGGACGAACGCGAGAGTAACCTTGGCTTTCGGTTGGAGGAGACGAGTAGATCAGCGGTGACAACAGTGACGGCGGTTGTACATGTCGCAGCAGCAGCCAGCCAGCAGACGAAGACGGACCCAACTTAGGTACTTACAGTAGCAACGACGGCAATGGCAACGACAACAAACAAAGAGCGAGTGTGGATGGTTGAATTGGATGCAGAGAGAGGAAAAAAGGAGAAATCCCAAGGGCCAGAGATGGACGAGGTGGACGGGGATTTCCCTTTATGTAGCGGTGATATCACTGTGGGAACCCAATTCGCATTTGCCAATTTTCATTTTATCTCGTTCCCCCCGGGAGCCAGGAGTCTGGAGGGGACGGGACACGCGCTGCACATTCTCATCCATTCACCCACCCACCGCAGCTTCGGGGAGGGGACCTGGAGGGGGAGGGGAGCCCTCGGAGCCAGGAGCCCAAGGGGAGCCGGACAAGAATTGGGGGGGAGGGGCCGCTGTGTTCCATGCAGGACGCTGGACCTCCACCACCTGCACCAGCACCTGAACAGCTGGCCTGGGCTGGCCTGGTCCTGGTGTCTGGGCTGCCACCTCCATCAACGGAACT